CACTTGCAAGTGTGCAACTCCTCGGTTGAATACTTCCTTAGATTGGACGGTTACTGTGCAGGAAGTGCTCAACCGAGGAGTTGCACACTTGCAAGTGCACACCTACCGAGTTTAACACTTGCAAGTGTAGAACTACGAAGTTGGACACTTGCAAGTATTCAACTTGCAGTTGCACACTTACAAGTGTTGAGCAGTTGAACACTTAGTTTATCAGTGCAGAGCGATCTGAGGGGAGCCGACGACGCCGACCTGGCCAACACCCGTAATAAAGGGTTTCCTACTCGTTCTTTTTCCTTTCGCAGGGTAAGTGCCCCCCCCCTACCTCCTCAAATCCTTTATTCCAATCTGCTCCCGTGATCCAGCAAATAGTGCAGTGGATGCGGCAATGGCTGCTCACGCAACAATAACAGGTTCGGAGCAATTAAGTCCAGAAGCGTACGGGAGGAGGGGGGGGGGGGGTGCTCCAGGAGGCGGAAGGGGACGAGTTCATCGGGGGTCGAGGGTCTTTCACCGATGGACTTCTTCAGAAGGTCTGTTCTAAAACGACTGTCCTAAAACGACTTTTCTCACAGGACTATTTCAGAAGGACTTTCCTAAAAGCACCTCTCTAGCACAGACTTTTCTAGGAGGCTCCTTCCAGAAGGACCGCTCCAAAGGGACCACCTCTCGGCCCAGGACCTCTTCAGCTCCACGTTCCATATGAAACGTGGTCATATTGGTCGCAGCGCGCTGTTAAAAATAACTTGACATAATTCGTTGTGCGTTGGGATTTCACAACTCCACGGCAAAGCGTCGTCGAGGACGTTCAGTTGGATAGTCCTCGTGTACATCCGTGGAACTGTGGAACATCCTCTCGTGAAGAAGCAGAGCTCCAGAGCACTGCAGCAACAGGCTATTGCCGGCAGCCTGATATGGTCATACCGAGAAGCTCGGCCCGGCCCGGGCGTGCTGGGACGGGGTGGGGCGTGCTGGGGCGGGGCGGCTGGAGGCAGGCCGCCGCCTGGACCGGAGGCCCTGGACCTGCTGCAGCATCTGGAGGTCCCCCCTGCAGACAATGGGGCATCGGCGAGGTTGTCGCCTGCGCATCGCCCCGCGCATGCAGCTTACACAACGTCTCGACGACGTGTTTACGGCACAGGCCCCCGCCACGCCCCGCCCCCGTTGCACCTTCAACCGGCCGGGACACCTGCACCACGGTCTCAGCCCCCC